ATTTAATTTGCTAACTAAATATGTAACTCTGATCTAAATATTTAACGTGCAAGGTAAATATTTAGGAGCTCAGCTCTAAATATGTAGCTTGCCAGTTAAATATTTAGCTAAGAGTTAAATATTTTGTTAGCAAATTAAATGTTTAGTTTGAAATTAAATATTTAGCTTGGACAATAAATATTTAGTTTGGAAATTAAATGCTTAGTTTTGAAAATAAATATTTAGCTTGGAAATTAAATATTTAATTTACAGCTAAATAGTTTGCTAACTAAATATTTAACTCGCAAGTTAAGTTTTAAGTTTGTAAACTAAATATTGAACTTGCACTGTAAATTAAACATTTAGTTGGGAACTATAACATTTATAAATGTATGAATAACACGGTGAAAATATGACTTTGGAAAAAAAAGGCTATTTTTTTCTTATTAAAGGCTAAATAAACCAAAATGTTGCTGTTAATTTTTGACTGTGTAACTTTACAAACGGCGCTCCCATAATACTCTGTATACCCACGTCTCACGTAGACTCCACCACTGGTTTTAACCAAAGAATAGAGTCCTCAACTGGGGCGACACAATGGTGTCTCTGTGGCCGCGGCGTCGGATTGAATTGACTTATCAGCTAAACAGGAAAAAGACGCTCAGATTCCCACTTTAAGGGGAATCCACCGGCTGTAAAACTGGATTGTTTGCACTTTTCATGTGTGTGAGATCTGGTAAAACTCAGACTGAGGCGAAAAGAGTAGAGACAGTGGGTGGGGAGTTAATCACACCCTGTCCCACTGCCCTAGTTTTCAAGAAGACAAAGGCATTTCTGAGCTCAGTCTGTTAGCGTTTTTTACACATTTGTCACCGAAAACGCTGTGCGTTGTAGCACGTTCATGATTTTCTCCAACCTGTCCTGGTGGCTTTAGCTGTCTGGGTCTTCTGCACTTTGTCTACATGCTTGACTCAGATAAAGAAACCTTGGCATGTGAGCACCAGACTGCTTTGTAACACAATAAGCTGGCAGCTCACCACAAAAAGGGTGTTTCTTTCCTAAAACACTTGCTTAGGGTAACAAAACACACCACGCTGCCCGTGAGATGGAAGTGAGGCGGCTCAAAAACAAGAAGAACCGCAGATCTTTTTTTCTTCTTCTATGGTAAAACTTCCAGGATGGACCAGGGGAACACTTAAAGTAGCTTTACACTCATTTAATCAAAATCTCCCAGAAGAGAGAAGAAAAGCAAAGTGGGGAAAAAAGGAGGGCTGGGATGTAATTACTTCCATGTTGAAATAACAGCCTGCCTGCCGCTGATCACGGTGAGTCGACAGTTATAGATGTCCTTACGTAACTGGGACGACGACTCCTCGGGAGTAAACTCTGAGCTGCAAAGTGTTGAGGGGAGGTTCCACGTGGCCATTAAATCTCTCTTGTTGGGAACCCTTCGGCAATCAGTTAATAGCTGGGCTCTAAAGTTCAGGATTTATAGCTGTTTTAAGGGGAACCACAGTTTCTCAGTGCAAATTTATTGGACATGAAAACTCAATCTTACACGTGAATTATGGACTTAAAAAGAAAATAAATCTCTGATGAGTCATGCTGTTTGAAGACGATAGGGATTACCGTATTTTCCGGTGTATAAGTCGCAGTTTTTTTGCATAGATTTGTTAGTCCTGCGACTTATATACGTTTTTTTTTTTTTTTTCCATATTCATAACGCAATTTTTGTCTGACGCTTTAAATTTCGAAGAACTGCAACAGCGAGACCTCCATGCACGCTCGCTTCACTCAGCTGGTGCAGGTGGAAGAATGCTGGAGAGCTAGCGGCAGTGATGGATGGATGGATGGTGCCACCCAGGCAAAATGAAGCTGTTTTAACCAGTAAATAAACACATAATAAATGTGACTTACACGCCAAAGCAACTTATATATGTTTTTTTCCTCTTCGTGATGCTTTTTTTTTTACTGATGTGACTTACACGCCGTAAAATACGGCGTCTGTGTGTGAATCTGTTTGGCAGTTTAGGGCGAAAATAGCACACTGATTCAGTTCTGGCGTCCGAGCCTGTGTGTTTGTGTGTTTACACGGTCAGAGAGGTTAAAAAAGAGGTAGAGGAAGAGGTCAGGAAAACCACGGCAACCTAAAGTGAGGACAACAAAGCATTGAAACGATCCAGGCCACGGCCACAGGAATCCTGGGACAAGTGACCTATACTTTAAGACGCAGCTCAGCCGGCGCTCGCTCCCATCGCAGCATAATAACACGGCAGGCTTTTCACTATAGGAAGAGTGCAGAAAGTTAAAGCGTCGGGGGAGAAAGGTTGAGAAATACCTTGAAAATCTTCAACTCGGTCATTAAAAATAAGAATCTCCAAAGTTTCAAACTGGACAGTGCACAACTGTTCCATCCCATCCCTATAATCTAAGCACCACGACGTGCACAGTCTTCCTCCTGATGGGAAAAAAATTGCGAGCGCAGTCTGCACCATCTGTCCGTGCAAAGGTTGTAATCATGAGCTTTTCTGTGCCGTGGACCATTTTTCATTTGTTTTGTGGCTTTTAAATATCAGGCAACGGATTGGGTTTGGAAAAAAAAACAAAAAACATTCTGGTTTCCTGACAGAGCTGTCTCACTATGTTCCCAGTTCCAACCAATCTACACTTTGAACTGTAAATATTAAGCATTTAGATGACAGATAAAAACACTACGAAGTGTCAGTATGTGGGCGAGGAAACCCTGCTGTGTTGTTTTTAGACCTGAGATGATTTGAATATCTTTGACCTGCATGATTTGACTGATTCAAATCTTCTGGGACTTGGACTACCGGGTGTGCCTGAATGAGGCAACGCTGGATGTATCTATCAGCACCGACTTGTTAGCAGCCACCTGTTGGAATGACGGGAAAACACAGAAATGCCACGGGAGGCGTCCAGGGAGCATCCTTACCAGATGCCTGCACCTCCTCAAGTGGCCCCTCTTGACGCAGAGGAGCAGCGTCTCTACTCCCTGTCTCTCCTTGTTAACTGAACATCTCATCCTGTCTCTAAAGTCCAGCTACCCTGCAGGAACATCTCACATGGGCTGCTTTTATCCACAGTCTTGTTCTTTCAGTCACGGCTCTCAGTTTGAGACTTACGAAGCGTTCACACTCTTGTGATCCATTTTCTTCTGAACGTTTTCCAGCATCTTTCTCGTTCCACAGTTTTTGTGCTATTTCAACAAATCATGAGTCAAAACGTTCGGCTCTTTCAGGACAATCCTGGTATGACTTTTGGCGTTGGTGCAACTTTAGCTTTTTGAAATATTTAGCCTTTTCTGATATTCTTTTCTCAGAGAAAATGAATTGAGCTCATTTGACATCCTTCAAAATCTTTAAATCTGTTTACAACCTTTTACTGCTCCTTTCACATTTCAGCTTCTTTCAGCTTCCTTCTGCAAATTTAAACTTTTTTCAGCTACTTTAAGCTGGTTTGTGATCGTTTCAGCTGCAATATTTTTGTGCTTCTTCTAACTTCTTTCTGCTAATTTTAGCTTGTTATGTTCCTTGCAGCTTATTTCTGCTAGTTTCAGCTTCTTCTGCTATCTCAGCTACTATTCCGTTGCTTTTATGCTAACTTTAGCTTTTTCAGCTAATTCCACATTTTTTGCACTCATTTCAACTTTTTTCAGCTTAATTAAGCAAAAATGTGCTCTCTCCACTTCCTTCTGGTAACTTAAGCTTCTGTCTGCTGTTTTAGCTACTTTTCACCTATTTTTTGTTGTTAATTTTAGCTTTTTTCAGATCATTTCCACTTTTTTGTGCTCATTTCTATTTCTTTAAGCCTAATTGGGCAGACATGTTCTTTCTGCTTTCTTTTGATAATTTAAGCTTGCTCTAAGTTTTCAGCTAGCTTTTTAGCTTTTTTTAAAGCTAATTTCAGATAAAATTGAGTTTTTCATGTTAGTTTCTGTGACTTTCAGCCTATTTAACTTCTTAATGCTAATTTCAGCTTTTTATGCTCCTTTCAGCTTAATGCTAGTTTCAAAATTTTCTCCTCTTTCAGCTACTATTTAGTTCTTTTGATGCAAATTTGAGCTTTTTCAGCTAAATCCACGTTTTTTTTTTTAGCTCATTTCAGTTTTTTCACTTCATTCTAGTAGTTTAAGTTTCTGTTTGCTGTTTAGTTTATTTCAAGTTAGCTTAGAACAATGGACGCTATCCCAGGGGACTAAACAACAAAAATAATGTCAGAATCTCATTCAAAACCGATCCAGATCTGATCTACTGACAATTTAAGCCAATACGATCACATACAGTATATTACTAAATGCTAATTAGAGTTAAGTTATCGATCTAAGAAAAGCAGCAGGTTCAAACCCTGAACAGGACGGTGGCGACGGTGGAAAGAAATGACTCCCTTTAAACAGGAAGAAATCTCTAACCTTTAACTTGTCATGTCTTCTACTGTATGTGCATAAAAATAAAAGTCTGGCCACGAGAGGTTGATGACGGTCACCGTTTGGAAAGTGTTTTCATTATAACTTTTGACAATTTGTCTGAGGCTTATATTCTAGTCTGCACTTCTGTCTGCCTGTTTCATAAGAAGCTTCAATTTGTCTTTCCATCTCTGTTCTCTTCACACTTTCAACAAAGTTTATTTACCAAAACATCAGTTACTCATTTGAAGAAAGCTGATGGATGTGAGAATTCCCATCAGCTTCTGTAGAAGTGGAGTGAACAGATGATCCAGGCGGAGGGAATTAGAATATTTAATCCAAAACAAAGGAAGCTCCTGCTGGATGCTGCTTTCAGGCAAACATTTGCAGCCCAGTGTCATTCCACAGGCTGGAGTCACTGGTTCTGAAAATAGCCTGGCTGTGGAAGTTTGTCTGGAAGGGGAGACCAGAACTTTTCTCTCTGCTCCAGCCTCACGTCCTGTCATTAAAACCTCTTTCAATCTGTTTGTTGTTGTTGTTGTTGTTGTTGTTTGTGTGCGGTAAATGTTTCCAGAGGATGGTCCTACCTTGTGTGGAGCTCTGAGCAGCCTGTGGACGCCTGCGAGCTGGTTGATGAGGGGGATATCCTCCCTGAAGGTGTACAGGGGGGGTCTCGTCGGCTCTGGGAAGTTGGTGCTGTTGAACGGATCGGTGTCGTCTAAGAACTGGACCCGGCAGACGAACGTGGCCATGGCGCATCCATGCAAGTGGCTCCGCGGAGGGGAGAGAGCGACACTGGGGGGTTGTAGGTGGGTGGGAACCAGCTCGGTGCAGATCAGTGGGAGCCTCCTTTACCTGTCCTGTTGATGCCAACAACAAAACCTTCTGCAAGTGGCGCACTGGCTGAGCGCGCGCGCGTGTGTAGGGGGGGTCCGCCTCCTTGCTTCGGGATGGGGGTGGGGGGTGTCGGTGGGGTTATTCTGGGAGAGGCAGGTGGTAGAGAGTGAAGGATCAGCGCAGCTCGGAACAGCCGCTCTGCTGTCTGTCTGACTCTAAATCCACCCCCACCCCCCCGGGTCTCCCCCCTCCCCCCCACAGAACACAGGGATTCCCGAGTGTATGAAAATGAATTAATTCAGAGAAACAGTGAATGTACAGAGATGACTCAAAGCGAATTTCACGTTTAAACCAAACAGCTACATGAAGAATATGCTTTAAAATGTTTTGTTTAGTTTTAAATCGCATGAATCTCCACTGACTTGTTTTTTTTTTATATATATATATATATATAAATGTTGCACGACCTATTTAAAAAAAAGAAAAAAGTCCTGGACTATAATTGATAAACGCACGAGACATGAGATGATCGCTCGTGGCGCTGTTGGGAGGAGGAACAGGACTGACAGGAGGCGCCCTCTTGTGGCAACATAAAGAAACGCAAAAGACTCCCAGTTGTAATATTTTATTTATTACTTAATTTATTTAACAGCAGTCCAATTCAACATGCGGTCCGGACATTTTGTCATTGTCAAATATTTTTTGGACGTCACAAATCTGTCACAAGTCCACACCGATTTGTCTGAAAATAATGTTAAAATATGTAATACAGTATTCAAGTAGTTGAGGTTCTTTAGTGTCATTTGCATCACATGTGGTACATGAGGTGGAAGGAGATTGTGTCCTCAAGGTCCCAGTTACAGCCAACAATAGCAAAAATAGAAAGTGTAAAAAGAAACAGTAAATAAGGATCTAAGATATAACGAACGCCCAGCGGTACGCCAAAAGATCTAAGATATACGCAAAACAATACACCAAAACAACAGCAGCCAAGCATAGGTCCGGTTTGGCTATTTACACACTTAATGCGAGCGGAGTGTGAGAACTAGTAATAAGTTTCATTCATCTGTTAATGACGTCCTTTTCAGGGACACCACCAAGTCATTGGTTCAGGTATGTTGACGACACCTGGGTTAAAATCAAATCTCAGGAAGTCCAACATTTTACTGACCACATCAACTCTGTGGATAAATACATCAAGTTCACACGAGAAGATGAAAAAAATGGCAAGTTGGCTTTCTTGGACTGTGAGGTCTCAGTCTCTGATAGAGGACATTTGCAAACTGAGGTGTACCGCAAACCCACCCACACAGACCAGTATTTGCAGTTTGACTCCCATCACCCTTTGGAGCACAAGTTAGGAGTCATCAGGACTCTGTACCACAGAGCAGACAGCGTCCCCACTAGCTCAGGAGCCAGGCAGAAGGAGAAATCCCACACAAGACAGGCTCTAGAGCAATGTGGATATCCTAACTGGGCCTTCCTGAAAGCCGAGAAGAAACCCAAACAGGACTCCAGTCAGCCATCAGGTGAAAAGGAGGAACCCAGACCCAGACCAGTGGTCATTCCATATGTTGAGGGAGTATCAGAGAAACTGAGATGTTTATTTTCTAAACATAACGTCCCAGTGGCTTTTAAACCCCAAAATACATTACGGCAAAGACTGGTTCATCCCAAAGATCCAGTCCCCCGGCACAAACAGAGCAATGTTGTGGATGCTGTTCAGTGTCAGGAGGGCTGTGATCAGTCTTACAGC